ACACACACACACACACACACATTTGTTCCTCTAGAGAACCCAAACTAAGACCTCAATCACTTCCCTATTATTCTTGGTTCTCAACAATGACACATTTGTTGTTAGGTGCCATCAAGTCAGCTCCAATGCATAGCAACCCTTTGTACAGCAGAAGGAAACACTGCCCAGTCCTGCATCATCCTCATAGTCATTGCCATCCTTGAGACCATCATTGCAGCCACTGGGTCAATCCATCTCATCGAGGGTCTCCCCTTTTTTTGCTGACCTTCTACTTTACCAGGCATATCTTTCTCTAGGGATTGGTCCCTTCTGATAATATGACCAAAGTCTGAGAGATGAGGTACACCCTATGTGCACACAATGGCACAAAGTGTACACTTAATAAGTGACAGGTATCACCAGTTTTCTAAGGGAGTTCCTGGGTGGAACAAATTGTTACACACTCAACTACTAGCTGAAAGGTTGGTGATTCAAACCCACCCAGAATTTCCTTGGAAGACAGGCCTGGCAATCTGCTTCTGAAAGGTCACAGCCTTGAAAACCCTGTGGAACACAGGTCTACTCTGCATGCGTGGGGTCACAGTTAGACAGAATTGACTCAATTGCAACTAATAACAATATCAGTTTTCTAAAGCCAGGACCAGGTGGGAAAGTGGTGTGGTGGGTTACGCACCGTGTAGCTCATTTTGAACTTCCATTTGCATGTCTGCAGGTCCCAGAGGCACAGCAGGGCATCCTCTGACCCACTCACAGCCAGCTCTTCCTTGTGGCTGACCTCCACGCAGGTGACCCGGCTCCTGTGGGCTTCCAAAGGGAACACCTTGGAGTTGGCACACTCATAGAGAAAGAGGTCGCCGTTTGTCATGCCATAGACCACCCGACAGTCAGCCAGAATGGCTACGCTGGAGATGGTCTCAGGCAGCTGGGTATAAAAGGTGTAGGTTGGCCCATCAATGACGGGACAGGGGTCCCCAGGACTGATGTCTAGCACCAGGACGATGTTGTCATAAGCGATGGCCAGGCGCTCCTCACCCTTGCTCAGTGACATGCAGTTGATGGCTTTGCGGGCCTCTGGAGGAGGGATGCACATCACATCCTGCCGGGAGTTTAGGGGGAATACGAGGACAATTCCAGAGACGAGGCCAGTAAAGAGGAGCTTGGTCTGCTCAGCCACCTCCAGACACCTGACTTCATTGGAGGTGTCCAAAGCATCTTGTTCCTCGCCTGCCAAGAGGAGGAGACCACATTAAAAACTGACTACAGCCCTGAAGCTATTGCCTGGAAACTACTTTTTAAAAAAATAATTTATTTTATAATTTTTTTGTTGCTGGAAATACATATAGCAGAACATACATATACCAATTCAACAATTTCTGCATGTACAGCTCAGTAACATTGAGTGCATTCTTTAAATTGTGCAACAATTCTCACCTTCCTTTTCCAAATGATTCCTCCCTCCCTCATTGACATAAACTTACTGCCCTCTAAGCTTCCTATCTAATCTTCCTTCCAAGGAGTGACTGTTGTCAGTTTGATCCCATAGATAGTTCTTTAAAAGAACACAATGCTCAAGGCAGACCTTCTTTATTAATTGTTGTCATTAAGTGCCTTCCAGTCGTCTCCAACTCATAGTGACCCCATGCACAGCAGAACGAAACACTGCCCGGTCCCGCGACAGCCCCACGATCTTTGCTATACCTGAGCCCATCGTTGCAGCCACTGTGTCAACCCATCTCATTGACAGCCTTCCCCTCCTTCGTCAACCCTCCACCTTACCAAGCATGATATCCTTCTCCAGGGAATGGTCCCTTCTGATAACATGACCAAAGTAGGTGAGACCAAGTCTGGCCATTCTCACTTCCAAAGAGCATTCTGACTGCACTTTTTCCAGGACAGACTTGTTAGTTCTTTTAGCAATCCACAGTACTTCTAGCATTCTTTGCCAACACCACAACTCAAAAGCATCAACTCTTCTGCAGTCTTCCTTCTTCATTGTCCAGCTTTCACATGCATATTAGGCGATTGAAAGTACCATGGCTTGTGTCAGGCACACATTAGTCTTCAAGGAAACATCTTCGCTCTTCAGAACTTGAAAGTGGTCCCTTGCAGCAGATTTGTCCAATGCTATATGATATCTGATATCTCGACTGCTGCTGCCATTGGTGTTGATTGTAGAATCAAGTAATATGAAGTCTTTGATAACTTCAATTTTTTTCTCCGTTTATCATCATGCTGCTTATAGGTCCCATTGTGAGGATTTTTGTTTTCTTTATATTGAGGCGTAATCCATACTGCAGACCTTATTTCTCAATTTTCATCAGTAAGTGCTTCAAGACATCCTCATTTTCACCGAGCAAAGTTGTGTTGTCTGCATAATGCAGGTTGTTAATGAGTCTTCCTCCAATCCTGACACCATGTTCTTCTTCATATAGTCCAGGTTCTTGGATTAATTGTTCAGCATGCAGATTATTCAAATAAGTATGGTGAAAGGATACAACCCTGATGAACTCCCTTCCTGATTTTAAACCATGCAGTGTCACCTTGTTCTGTTCAAACAACAGCTTCCTGGTCTATGTACAAGTTCCTCATGAGCACAGTTAAGTGTTCTGGAATTCCCATTCTTCTCAATGTTATCCACAATTTGTCATGATCCACACAATCAAATGCCTTTACATAGTTAATAAAACACAAGTAAACATCTTTCTGGTGTTCTTTGCTTTGAGCCAAGATCCATCTGACATCAACAATGATATCCCTCGTTCCACATCCTCTTCTGAATCCAGTTTGCATTTCTGGAAGTTCTCCATCAATATACTTCTGTAACCATTTTTGAATTATTTTCAGTGAGATTTTACTTGTGTGCAATATTAATGGCATTGTTCAATTATTTCCATATTCTGTGGGATCACCTTTCTTTGGAATGGGTAAAAATATGGATCTTTTCCAGTGTGTTGGCCAGGTAGTTCTCTTCTAAATCTCTTGGCATAGCCAAATGAGTGCCTCTGGTGTGGCATGTTTGTTTAAACATCTCAATGGGTATCCTGTCAATTCCTGGAGCCTTGTTTTTTGCCACTTCCCTCAGTGCAGCTTTGACTTCTTCCTTCATTACCATTGGTTCTTGATCATGTGCCACCTTCTGAAATGGATGAACATCAACCAATTCTTTTTGGTACAGTGACTCTGTGTATTCCTTCCACCTTCTTTTGATGCTTCATGCAGCATTCAATATATTGCCCATAGAATCTTTCAATATTCCAACTCAAGGCTTAAATTTCCTCTTTGGTTCTTTCAGCTTGAGAAATGCTGAGTGTGTTCCTCATGTCTTTGTACATTTCATTATAGTAATTGGCTTTGTCTGCTCAAGCTGCTCTTTGAAATCTTCTGTTCAGCTCTTTTATCTTGTCATTTCTTCTATTTTCTTTAGCTAACCTCTGCTCAAGGACAAGTTTCAGAGTCTCTTCTGACATCCATTTTGGTCTTTTCTTCCTTTCCTGTCTTTTTAATGAACTTTTGCTTTCTTCATGGATGATGTTCTTGATGTCAACCCCCAATTCCTCTGGTTTTCAGTCACTGGTGTTCAATGCATCAAATTTATTCTTTAGATGGTCTCTAAATTCAGGAGGGATATATTCAAGGTCATATTTTGGCTCTCATGGACCTGTTGTAATTGTCTTCAACTTTAATTTGAACTTGCAAGTGAGCAGTTGATGGTCTGTTCCACAAGCAGCTCCTGGCCTTGTTTTGGCTAAAGATATCGAGCTTTTCCATTGCCTCTTGCCACAGATGTAGTCAATCTGATTTCTGTGTACTCCATCTGGCAAAATCCACATGTACAACTGCCGTTTGTGTTGTTGAAAAAAGGTATTTGCAATGAATAAGTTGTTGGTCTTGCAAAATTCTATCATGTGATCTCCAGCGTATTTCTGTCACCAAGGCCAAATTTTCTGACTACTGGTGATTCTTCTTTGTTTCCAACTTTTGCATTCCAGTCACCAGTGATAATTAATACATCTTGATTGCATGTTCAGTCAATTTCATACTGCAGAAGTTGGTAAAAATCTTCAATTTCCTCATCTTTGGCTTTGGTGGTTGGTGCATAAATTTGAATAACAGTAGTATTAACTGGTCTTCCTTGTAGGCATATGGATATTATCCTATCACTGACAGCATTGTACTTCAGGGCAGATATTGAAACATCCTTTGTGATGATGAATACCATGCTGTTCAAATTGTCATTCCCAGCATAGTAGATCCTATCATTGTCTGATTCAAAATGGCCAAAACCAGTCATTTCAGCTCACTAATGTCTAGGATATCAACCTTTATGTGTTCCATTTCATTTTTTACAACTTCCAATTTTCCTGGATTCATACTTCATACAGTCCATGTTCCGATTATCAATGGATGTTTGCAGCTGTTTCTTCTCATATTGAGTTGTGCCACTTCAGCAAGTGGAGGCCCTGAAAGTTCTACTTTATCCATATCATTAAGGTAGGCTCTACTCTGATGAGGCAGCTCTTTCCCAGTCATATTTTGAGTGCCTTCCAACCTTAGGGGCTCATCCTCTAGCACTGTATCGGACAATGTTTCAGGGCTATTCATAAAATTTTCCAGCAATATATCAGACAGTTTCATTACTATTCATAAGGTTTTCACTGGCCAATTCTTTGAGAAGTGGATGGCCACTTCCTTCTTCTGAGTCTGTCTCAGTCTGGAAACTCCACCGAAATCAGTCCACCATGGGCACACCTGCTGCCACAGCCTCCAGCCTCACAGCAACATGAAAGCCACTGCAATGTGACAAACTGACAGACAAGTTTGTCTCCCTTAGCTGTTCCAACCACTCTGCTCACTTCCTGGGCTACCACTTACCTGTTCCTGCTGGCCCTGTCTGCTGCTGCTCTCTGCCACCTGGGGCTGTCCCCCACCTGCCTTATCTGTTCTGCTGCCGGCCCTGTCTGCCACTGCTCCTAATTGAGCTGCTTTACTAATTAAGCTAAACTATTGTTTGGTTTCAAGAAGACTTCAGGAGATATTTTTGGTTTAAAGTTGAAAGATTATCTTAGGGCAATAGTTTTGGGAGTTCATCCAGCCTCTATACCTTCAGCAAGTCTTGATTCCATGGAAATTTAAAGTTCTTTCCCACATTTCCACCCCTTTTGATCAGTATTGTCCTATAGATTCTTTGCTTAAAATGGCCTGGAAACTACTTTGAAGCCTTGAATCAAAACTATCCCATGATACCATCTTTAAACTAAACAACACTTTAGTTCATTTAATATAGAAAGTTAGCATTGAGCATTGCACTCTTTTAAAGAATTATCTGTATGAGATCAAATGGACAACCAAACCAAACTCACTGCCGTAGAGTCAATTCCGACTCATAGAGACCCCCACTGGGTTACCAGGGCTGAAAGTCTTTACAGAAGCAGACTGCCCCATCTTTCTTCCAAGGGGCAGCTGGTTGGAACTACCAGCCTTATGGTTAACAGTCAAATGCCTTAACCACTATACCACCAGAGTTCCTTAAATGGACAACAGTAACTCTAAAACACAGATAAGAAGTTTAAGGGACAGAGAGTCCAAGTTAATGGTGATGAAACAATATAGGCAGAGATGAGGAGAATGGTGACATAATATGAAATATGTAACCATTGTCAGTGAGCTGTACATGTAAAAAATTAGTGAATAGATGTATGTTTTGCCGTGCAAATTTTTACCAAAAACAAAAAATTTAAAAACTGACCACAATATGATCTCATTTCTATGAAATAAACAAATAAGTAGAAACCAAAGATTATTAGTGGGTAGGAAAGGAGCTCTTGTGGTGTAGTGCCTGAGGTATTTGACTGCTAACCAGAAGTCTGATGGTTCAAAACCACCAGCCACTCCTCGGAAGGAAGATTGGGCAATCTACTTCCGTAGTGATACCACCTCAGAAACCCAAGGAGGGGTCACTATGAGTCGGATCCAAATCGATGACAGTGAGTGAGAGGGATAGGAAGGAAAGAGAAAGGGGGAATTTTTGCTTAGGGGACACTGACTTTGTGTTGATGGTGGTAGAGGAATTTGGAAAAGGATAGCAAGAATTGTTGCACAACCTGAAGTATGTAATCAATGTCACTGAATGGGACATGTAGAAATGGTTGAAGTGGTGTGTCTTCTGTTGCCTATATTTTTACCACAACTTAAAAAAAATAAATAAAATAACTAATCACAGAATC